TTAGTTTAAGGGAAGACAGGAAGTGTATACACCCAAACCATTGTGATCGATTCTGAGCCATGTCACCAAGAGTCTCCAACCATTAGTTACGATAGTCACGCGGACCCCAATCAAGTAGTCTGCATCTACCAACATGGCTCACACCAGAAGTTAGTGACTGCAAGCACTGATGCCACGTTTTGGTTTGGCCACCCCTAACTTTCTTCCAACCATCTCCAATACCGAATAGCATTGCACGTCGTGGTAATCGGTGTTCAGGCATACGTAACACGTGGCCCAACCATTTCAGTCGATGAAGATTCACAACCTCATCAACTGACTTACCTTCATTCCCTAATACCCTGCGTCTAACCTCACTATTACTTACCCAGTGATCCCGATAGACGCCAGCAATATTTCTAAGGCATCTGTGGTCAAATACTAGTAGCTTACGGGTGTCTTCTACTCTTAAAGGCCATGTTTCGCTGCCGTAAATTAAAACAGAGCGGACTGCCGCGCAGTATACTCGTCCTTTTATTGATAGATGGATATCTCGCCTTCGCCAAAGGTGACGTAAGTTGGCAAAAGCCAAACGAGCTTTTCGAATCCGTGCTGAGATTTCGTCCAATACCAACCCATTAGGGCTGATGAGACTTCCAAGATAAGTGAAGTTGTCAACGCGTTCGACTACTTCACTCCCTATCCTTAGTTCAGGTGTTGACGCAGGCCAGTCCTGAAGCAACAACTTGCATTTAGAGGGAGAGAAGCGCATTCCAAGCATTCTGGCATTGTTGCTTAGTGCTACCAGAAGACTCTGCATTTTTTCAGCGTCTTCACCAAACAGGACTATGTCATCTGCGTATTCTAAGTCGATAAGTCGACCTCTTGGATGGAGATCAATACCCGAGGATTCAGTCAACAAGAGTGTTATTTCCATCAATAGGTCTATGATGAAGTTAAACAAAAATGGAGAAAGTGGACAGCCTTGACGGACACCACTTGAGGTTGCAAAACTAGATGACAGTTTGCCATAAGCCCTGACTCGACTAGTAGTGTTCGAGTAAAGAGCCTTCACAAGGTTTATGTACTTCTGAGGTACGCCTTTCAATGATAGACACTGCCATAGAATCTCGCGGCCTACAGAGTAGAACGCTGCTTTTAAGTCAAGAAAGACCGCCGTTGTCGGACACTGATAAGTATGCCTGTGTTCTAGAATCTGACGAATGGTGAATATGTGGTCGATGCAGCCACGATCAGGTCTGAAGCTAGCTTGGTTCTCTCGTGTTTGCAGTTCACGAGTCTTAGTTAGGCGTTTGATAATTACTGAGGCTAGTATTTTAGATACTATATTTGTTAAACTAATCCCTCTGTGGTTGTCACAGGATGATTTTGACCCTTTCTTATATATTGGGACGATCAGAGATTGTGACCAGTCAGATGGAATAACGTCTAACTCCCAGATCTTAGCTAAAATATTAGTCAACCTAATCGCTAAAATTGGACCACCATCCTTAAAGATCGCTGGAGCCAATCCATCTGGACCAGTTGCCCTTCCTCGTTTCAGATTAACTATAGCCTTCTCAACTTCAGCAAGAGTTGGGGGACCTATTTCAATGTTCCATTCAAATTGCCTGGGAATGGACGGTAGTTGTAGAGTAGCTGAAGGCCAGTTGAACTTTTCTCTAAAATGTTTCGCCCATCGTTCTAAACGTCTGGACTGGGAGCAGATGAGAGTATCGTCTTTCTCTGAAATAATCTCACACTTGACTTTTCAATTCCAGTTTCTTTTATTAGTCTGTAAAGCTGTTTTGTGTTCCCTATAGTCGCCGCCTTTTCCATCTCTTTTGTTTTCGTTGCCCACCACTGCTTACGGTCGTTTCTTAGACTTTTTCTTAACCTAGATCTGATTTGTTTACGCTCTTCATCATGTTCAGAACCTGATGGGACGAGTTTGCGAGAATCCATCAGTGTGATAGACCTTGAAGAAATCCACTGGTTCTTTGTAACTCTGTGGTTTAAGTCACTAATAGATTTCATTGCTGTCTCCACAGTTGTTTTTATATCTTTCCAAGCAACATCTGGGTCAGCCTCGTTTTCAGAACTACCTAAGTGTGACCTCAGTTGTTCCTGGAACTTACTTTTGGTTTTCTCGTTACTCAACTCAGTTCTAATTGGTCTTTTTAATGTGGCTTTTTTGCGTCCAGTGAGGCGCAAGCAGATGCATGCCCGTATTAGGGCATGGTCGGAGTCCAAGCAGGTACTCCAGAATGAGCGACAATCTTCTACCGACCCTCTCCAATGAAGACTGATGGCAATATGGTCTATTTGGGTCCATCGTTGGTTTGGTGTAGGGGGTCGCCATGTTAGACGATATCTTTCCTTATGCTTAAAATTTGTGTTTGCTAAAAATAAGCGATTGTCTGAGCATAGTTGCAGCAGACGATCACCATTATCTGTTCGTTGTGTCGGTATACTAAAATACCAACCTAAATGCCTTTCTGTGTGGTTTAGACTACCTATCTGGGTATTAAAGTCACCTGCTACGAGTGCTATGTCTGAACGTTTAGCTTTCTGAAGAAGTTCAGACAGCTTTCTGTAAAATTCATCTTTCATTTCATCTGAGCTGCAGTCGGTGGGAGCGTAGACAGAAACGACAAAAAGGCAACGACGTGTGTCCCTTCCCTTTCGAGTTCTTACGGAGCCGTTTAGCCGAACAGCATGTAGATGACTGTTGACGGAGATCCACTCTAGCAGTGGTTGTTCCGCCCTCATGCTTAGTGCTATGCCTACACCTGCCAGTCCACGAGAACTGGCCATCGGGTCACCAGATACACGGAGGGTGTATCTCGTTGGCTCTCCGTTTTGCCGAGGTGAGGTCAAGTGAATGACCACACTGGAATCCTGTATGCGTGTTTCGGAGACACAGCACACGTCAATGGTAGGAGACTCTAGGGTTTTAGCCAAGGAAGTCTGCTGATCGATTTGATATAGGGTGCGTACGTTGAAGGCTCCAATGTGTAGTTTGGAGCGAGGTTTCAGTAGACCTGGGACAGTGTTATGCGCACTAGAATCGTTGGCTATGGTGAAACTTGAAGTGGAAGCCGAGAGAGGAAATTTAAAGTTGAAAGTCAATGTAGGGAGAATAATAGGAATTGAAGACAGAGGTTGATTATGAATACAGTGGTCTTGAGTGCTTTTAGAGCTATGAGGGCGGTTATCACTTCCCAGTTGCCCACATCGTGGAAGGGTTCTTCTGGAGGTACCTGAAAAAGAAATTCTATTAAAGGTGGTCTTAGTGACCTGAGAGCGTGACCACAGTGCTCAAGGGACAACTGTTTGAGGTCGGTCACACACGACCTTTTTATGGGCAATTTTTGTGTTAGCTCCGTACTTATTGAGACCTTACCGCCGGAGACGGATATCCGTGAAATAAGGCGAGGTGTGCATTTTTAGGGTCGACCTTTTCTAACCCCACCCCTCCTTGTGGGAAGGCAGCATCGCTGTCATGCTGGTTGTCTGGAGAAAACACCTTACTGCTGTCACACCTCTGTACAGTCAGCAGTACGATTTCGCCTTCGGACCTTGGGTTTGTTGCTTTTAGCCTTACCGCTCTTAAACCGACCTGTCTGACATGGTAGGACCTTGAGGAACGGTTGTTCCAGCCAGTATAGCTCGGTTGTTTCATCACGATAGGCAGGCCCGACCACCACGTCAAGGTAGCAACAACGGTCGGGACCGCCCTCATACTTCTAACAACACTCAAAACCACTGTATTTAATGATAAACAATCCTTCTTTTTAATATAATTCTACAAACCATTAAAGATAGTTTATGAGTTGAAGAGTAAACAGAATAAACTCATTACATAATAATTACACATAACTTTATCATAATAATAATCAATTCAGAGTGATTAACCTTCATCATAGAGTTACAATGATCTACTTATTAATGTTAAAAAGTACGTTTTTTTAATTAGATACGTACATTACTAAAATGATTTCCATTAAAAATAAGATCGATACACACATTCACCTTAATTAAAGCATAATACAAAATTATAATGAACTATGTTAGATTGTATCCCTGATAGTTTTAAATAGAGTAATGATGAATTGAATTAATGAAAATACATTAATTAAAGTTCTATTTTTTTAACGGTAATCATATCAGATATTGAGGCTACGAGATTATATTACATTACTGTATATATGTAAGTATACTACACATGCGAACGTGGCCTCGTGGTGTAGCGGATAGCACTCTGGACTCTGAACCCGAGTTCGAGTCTCGGCGAGGCCTCGTGCTATGGGCACTTTCGACCCCAAATGCCCTGGTATGGTCGAGAGTGGGGTGGGAACCGCCCTCCCTCTCGAAATACTCTCACACGGCCACGCGTATATAGCCTCTGCCGGGAAAGTTCTACTCACTGCCTTCTCACACCAGGGGTGTTGTTTACGAAAATGAGAGGACGAAAAGCGAATGTCCGGCGCTTTAACCGGATTCCCAACCAAATCAATGGTGCACATGGGCTCCAGTATCCTGATGGAACAAATGGCGTATGAACCAATTTTCGGTCACCGGCTACCATGGGAATGCATTTCCTCACGATGCTCCACTGCCTTGTGGGTCAGACCTTCAGGTCGAAGGCTCCGGGTGCGACCTCCTAAGAAAACCACCTGCTTCGGTCTGGGCACCCGGGCAGTATCACAGCCTTCACACAAGTCGAATGATTTATGTGGCGCATATGTATTTGGTACCTCCTTGTACCAATATCTGTGTGTTAAAATAAATAAATAAATAATAGTCTAATGACCCAATTGAACGGGAAGTGTAAACAAGTTAAATTTATAACAGCGTACAATTAATCATACAACTCTGAATGACAATTCATGATTTCAATCAAAGGTGAATATCATTGTACCACATAACATAATCAATTACAGCAACAACAACAACAAAATGAACATTTAGGATATAAAAATATGTATAATAACTCCTCCTTTCTCATTCTAACTTACCCTACTTCGTGTATTCACATTAGCATGATACTGATTAATCAATAATTTCAGACAGTTTATATTACCAAATTTTGCTGCATAATGTAATGCAGTCTACAATGGTATTAGTGAAAAAAAGAGAAATACATGAATAGGAAACCAAGTAGAATACAACGATGTTTTATCATTATGTTTGTAGGTTAGAACTACTTCGCCTGACACCAAACTATGTTAGTTTTCTTGGTGAGCTTTATATATACGATATGATTTGCAGTCTAATATACTCACTAAAGAAAATCAATACCACTTGCTAGAGTAATACTCGAAACAAGTTAGATCGGTTACAAATATTGATTATTAGATTTATTGATGAGAGTCGATTTTTTCTAATCGCTCTTCTATTTCTAGGGATGCTATGAATCTAGGAAGAAATTCCACTTCCGCTGTAGTGAACAAGAACACTGGTGGGGACAATCGAATACACTTAGCACGAAAATTACAGACTATCTCAACAAAATCTGAATACCATAAAGTCAATCGTCAATTTGCAAATTATCAATGCATCATATCAAACTGTACTGTTCAAGTTGCGAACACTAATCCATTGTCTCCCATTTCATTGTTCATGCGATTTCTTACAAATTCCATTGTGTTCTTGCTCTTCTTTTCTAGATCTTCTCCATTTTCTGCTGCCAGACATTACATCATTTTAACGCACGTTATATACTACTTATGTCAATATAAGTAGCTCACACCACACCGCCACAACTGAGCAAAGTCAGTAATTTGTTGTCTTTGTACTTAAGATTTACTGACCGACATACTAGGAACCTTGAAGATAAGTTTTTCAGACAATATGATTTGATTACATCATTCCGAAAGCCATTTTCAATCGCAAAGTCAATGTAATTAGTTACGGCCGGTCTTTAAAAACTCGATGATGAGCACGAAATGTAGTTCAAGCAAAGCTCTTTGCTGATATCCTCCAACCATCTGACAAAGTAAACTGTGATGTCGAGTCACTTAAACCAATGGCTACGTTGGGACTTGATAAACGGAATGTGGTCAGTAGAATATGGAATAAACATGATCAGATTGGTCACTACTCAGTAACCGATCAATACAAATATCTTAGTCCTGAAGGACTAAGGTTAATAGTTGCTAGAATAACTTATTATTAACCCTTCTTACTGTATGATTAGGTGATAGATATTTAAATCCAAACAGGGAGTCCCCAAACTCAAAGGATGATGAATAAGAATTTGGATCTGTGATTTAATGGTTGAAAGTCGACAGTATCTTAAGAGCTACCTTGACATTCTATAGTCTCTTCACAAATTACCTTACTTTGATCACAAATGAAAACAAAATGCAGAACAAGACTTAAATAAGAACTTTCGTCTAAATTTAAACGAATAGTTTCACAATATTTGGGCGCCGAGTTCATTTGAGACATTAAAAAGAAGAATATATTTGTAAAATCTCAGCGAATGAATTTTAAGTAAATCCAACGTTTCGCCTGGCAATCTGGTCCAAGCTTTTTCAAGGAAAATATAATCAAACAACAGAATTATCGAAGACTTACCCACTAAAATAATCCATATTCAATTTTCATCAATTGTATATGCAAAGGGGAGAAGGCGGGTAACAAATACAAGAAACAGACAAACATTATGAATACGTACAGAATAGTATAGTTATTTTTTAATTAGTTAAAACATGAATACGAATGATTTCATTCTATAAAGTACCAATGATGTTGTTGCATTCTTTCATATGAACAGCTTAATTGTGAAGTTATCATTGTTTGGTCACAACGTTATTATTAACATAGAAACTCCTAAAAGAAACATTTATTTATATTTGGTACAAGGAGGCATCAAATATATATGCGCCACATAGATCAAATAATTTGTGTGACAGCTAGGATATTACCCAGGCGCCTAAACTGAAGCCCATATATTCATCTTAGCTAGAAATAATCTCTTTAAAAAAGGTTATTGGAATTATGAATCAGCTCAGTATTCTTAATAAGCATAAACTTAAATGTAAAGTTGCTAGCGTAATATAAACTGAATTAAAGTACATTCCGCGAAAGATTATGTTGGGACACACTGATTGGCTATTCCCTAACCAATTGGCGCTAGTGGATACTTGGAGAAGACTCTAGAATCTCCTCGTTTAAAAACTATAAATATACTAACGTTTTTCTTATTGTAATTCCCACTTCTATCTACTTTTGTTATTTTTGGAATGTAATGTCGTTGCTGTGCAACCGTGTTCTGGTTTGGAGACTTGTCGAGTGAATTCTTGTCCAAGAACACTAAGCAATGGGAATATCTGGGTCGTAATAGAGATAGATTATAACAGAATTATTGCTTGAATAATATAAACTATTTTTAAATGATAACTATCAATTATCATTAGAATGTAATAAATTAATTTGTCTACTGATACAATCGTTTTACACATAATGACAGAGATCTCTTGTTTTCAGTTTGAAATCATTTGTGAAGATGTAATAAAGACATTCTGTTAATGTCTGATACATGAATGCTTGATACAGAATTTTTAACAGTCCCCCCCCACAGAATTTTACTATACTTGAGCTTCGAATTCAAAGCAAAAGGTGGAACTTTTGAAAAGAAACTTCAATTTCAATGTTATTTTAGGTACAGAAAACAAAGATATTTATGGTTGTATGTGTGATCATGATCTACTTGACGCTTCCGAAAGTATGTAAAAATTAGTTACAAAACCGGGAATTACACAATCAAGATATGACACACAGTTTATCGTTATGATAAAACACTCTCGGAAGTTTCAGTTGAACATTGATTGGAATATATACATATATATTTCAATAGTTGAGATGATGAGTCAATTGAAGTTAGACCACTATGAAAAACCTGGGAGCACTCGACGGCCGTTCCGTCCAATTTATATATATATATATATATATATATATATGTAACAACTACACTTATGTGCCAAATTCAATATGATTTTTCCTTTATTGATGATCAATCAGAGCTATAATTTGAAGTGGTGTCAGTCAGTCAGTAACAACGTAGAACTTCGTACGTACGTACAACAGTTCGAGTTGCCACACCACATTAGCACAGAGATGCCGTGGTCGATTCAAATCCCATAGTGATAGACGTAGTAAGAGTATAAGCAGTAATCGGAAAGATTAGTGTTTGGATATGGTAGTTAAAGAATATAATCCAGTGAAATAAACTTGGGAAGAGAAAAAAGAGACAAGGAGGAATCAGGAGATTAAAATTTGAGAGAACACAAGGAGTGAATGCACCTGCGCCATTGAAAACGATTTTGAGCCATGTCATTCAGGGTCTCTAACCATCGGTTGCTATCATCTCGCGATCCCAAACCAGGTAGTCTACACCTACCGACATGACTCAGTCCACTTGTCAGTGACTTCATGGACTTGAGTCATGTTTTGGTATGGCCGCCCCTAGCTTTCTTCCAATCTACTCCCATACCACTGAACATCGCACGTCGAGGCAGTCGGTCGTTGGGAATACGTAACACGTGTCCCAGCCATCTCAACTGATGAAGTTTCACTACTTCATCAATTGATTTGCCATCCTTACCTAGTACCCGTTTCCTAACAACTGTGTTACTTACTCCATGGTCCCATGATATACGAGCAATGTTTCGAAGACACCTATGTTCGAATATTAGTAACCTACGAATATCCTCTACTCTTACCGGCCATGTTTCACTGCCATAAAGTAGGACGGGACGTACTGCTGCACAGTAAACCCGTCCTTTGGTTGATAGACGGATATCTCGCCTACGCCATAAATGACGCAAGTTAGCAAATGCTAGTCGAGCCTTCTGTATCCGTGCTGAGATTTCGTCACACACCAGACCACAAGGGCTGATGAGACTTCCAAGATAAGTGAAGCGGTCGACACACTCAACTACTTCACTCCCTATCACTAGTTCGGGTGTCGATGTAACCCAATCCTGAAGCAACATTTTGCATTTCGAGGGAGAGAATCGCATCCCGAGCATGCTTGCATTGTTGCTTAGAGTGGTCAGAAGACTCTGCATTTTGTCAGCGTCTTCACCAAATAAAACTATGTCATCAGCATATTCTAAGGCAACAAGTGAACCTCCCGGTAGAAGTTCAACCCCTGGAAATTTAGATGAGGAGAGTGTTATCTCTAAAAGTACGTCGACCACAAAGTTGAAGTGGTGAATATTTAAGATGTAGTGACTCACACATTAATTAGACCATTCCGCTTTCGTTCAGAAGATTGAAAACTGGTACCGGTCAACAGATGAAACAGTGAATCCAGATTTTGTGTTAAATGGGATAAACACATTAGGAAGGTGTGTATATTAGCTTACGGAGATTTATCAATGGTCCGAAGAGATCAGCTCTGAGAAAATAGACGTCAATTTTCCTAAGATTACATGAATCAGTGCAACAAAGAAATTAACCTAATTTAGACTTATGTACTGACGATTACTACAGATGACCAAATAAAAAGTATCACGCAAACTATTCCTCAACTGGTTTACCATTTATTTATTTATTTTATTTGAACACAGATATTGGTACAAGGAGGCACCAAATACATATGCGCCACACAAATCTCATTTGGTATATGTGAGAGCTGTGATACTGCTCAGGTGCCTAAACCGAAACAGGTGGTTTTCTTAGGGAGCCACACCCGGAGCTTTCGACCTGAAGGTTTGATCCACAACGCAGTGAAGCATCGTAAGGAGATGCAGTCCAATGGCAGCCGCTGTCCAATAACTGGTTTATACGCCATTTGTTCCATCAGGATACTGGAGCCCATGTGCACCATTAGTTTGGGATCAAGGTTTTCCAACTCCCCTAAGTAGACTCTCCATTTCCACCAAGCCGGTTAAAGCGCCGGACATTTGCTTTACGTTCTCTCAATTTCGTAAACAACAATGATGCCACGAGAAGGCAGTGAGTAGGACTTTCCTGGCAGAGGCTATATACGCGTGGCCATGTGATAGCATTTGTAGAGGGAGAGCGGACTCTCGACACTCAACCGTACGAAGGCATTTGGGGGCTTTATCAAGTCATACTGAGTTCATATTGATAAAAA